TCCAGAGGGTCCACAGGCTTTGTTGTTAGGTAGCTGGCTAAGAGTAGCAAGTATCTCCTCTTGGGAGAAGTCTGTAAATGCTTCTGAGTACCAGTCTTGCTGAATGTGCAGTTTAGAATTGTATTCTGTTTGCCAGTCACAAGTAGAACTATAAATATTTTTCAAAGGTATTATATTAGAAAACCTTTACCAGATATTACCTTTTCTAATAATTTTCTAAAGTTTTTCAATTTATTTATTCAAGTAAGTACAAAAATTTTTCTGGTTTGGATTTATAGTACAACATGCAACTTTTATTGCAGTATTTCAAATGTAAAATCAACACTGGTATTCTAAGAGCTTTCTAGTAGTTATTTTGGATATAGCTTAATGAATTACTTTTAGAAGATATTTATAATATATAAAATTATTTCAATTATATTCCAGATATTTACCAATATTTTATTAAATGTAATATATATATTACTTTCAAATCAAAGTATCAATGTTACATACTTATTTTATAATTGAAAATATATTGATATTATTTGAAGCCTTCAAATAATAATATTATTTATTAAATAATGATTATTCATCATCATAAATATCGTTGAAGTATTTATTTGAATCAACTTGATTCCACGCCCAAATTGGAAGATTTTTTGGTTTTGCAGGAATTAACGATTGCAGATTAGTCCACCTTGGGTTGTCTGTTTTAATAATTTCATGTGGCATGGAGTGGTGAAAGAATGATGGCCTTCAGAATTTAACTTTTCTACTCGAGTTTGCTTGATTACATCATTTGCAAGGTTATGAATACAAATTCCCTATAATAATAAAAAGTATTAGTTATTTTTATATTTATTATATAAATAATGAATTAAATTTAGTGTTATCTTATCACTCATCCAAGGAAGAACTGGTATCAATAACTTCTTTCTAGATTCAAATTCAGATATATGACTTTGATCATTCAATGAACTAACCTTTTCTTCAATATCGGATACTTCTGGAGATGTCATCTCAAAAGAGAATAATTTTTTAACTTCACCTTTAGGATGACTTAATTGTTCTTCAGAAATTTTATTTAAAGCAGCCAAATGATTAGATGATTTCTAATAAAAAAAAATAAATATGTATAATAATTCAATTGTATAATTGATGCAGCTTATCATAGGCAAGTGTATATGCATGTGAAAATATTTATTTAGTTACTGTATCACATTGCTTGCGGCATCTTGAGTGTTGATCATTTAAAAGTTTCATAGCTGGTGTAGTATTTTGCTCTTTTTTTAAGGTTTTGAAGTATGCTTTAGCAATTTTAGTAATCATAACCTCATTCCATTTTTTATTTGTTTCTACAAAATAATTTAAAAGATGTTAAACATTAATATATTCATATAACCTTTTTAAACAATTATTGAAAAATATATACATGTTTCTTCTAGTGTTTGTAGTCGATTTCACATAGTCGATTTTTATCGACTTAGCCGGCTTAGTCAGCCGATTTTTCAAAAAATCAACTTAGTCGATTTTATGTTGGATTATATTAAGTACCAATCAAATTCGATACATTACCTCTCTTAGTACATAGCACTA